AATTAATTATCATTACATATCAGGGAAATGAAAAATAAAATCACAATAAGATTTCACTACACACCAGATTGGCTAAAAATAAAAACATAGTATCAAATGTAAGTGTGAATGAGAAGCAACTGGGACTCTTTTACTTTGCTGATGGAGATGTAAAACAGATGGACCACTCTGACTGTTTCTAATAAAGTCAAACATATGCCTACCTGGCACCCAAGAAAAATAAATATGTATGTCAAAAAAAGACTTTGTGTAAGAATATTGCTAGCAGTTTTATTCGCAGTAGCCCTAAACCAGAAACAACCTAATCCAATAAGAGAATGAATAAACAAATTTTGGTATATTCATACAATGAAATACTATGCAGCAATATAAAAGAATGAAGTATTGATACACACAGAAACATAAAAGAAATTCAGAATTATGTTGAACTTAATGAGGCTCCTGGGTGGCTCAGTTGGTTAAGTGACCGACTTCGGCTCAGGTCATGATCTCCTGGTTGGTGAGTTAGAGCCCCACAACATTCTCTCTGCTGTCAGTGCAGTGCCCACTTCGGATCCTCTGTGCTCTCTCTCTGCCCCACCCCCTTCTCTTTCTCTCTCTCTCTCTTTCTCAAAAATAAACATGCAAAATTATGTTGAGCTTAAGAAGCCAGCCACAAAAGAGTAGCATGCCATATGATTCCATTTATGTGAAGCTAAACATAGGCAAAACTAATCTATGGTCATAGAAGTGAGAATAATGGTTACCTCTGGGAGTATGAGGAGGTTGGTTTGACTAGAAAGGGCACAGGGATCTTTTCTGGGGTAATGATGATTACATGGGTATATGCAAATGTAAAAATTCATCAAGCTGTACACTTAAGATGTGTGCATTTTAGTATATGTAAATTATGCCTCCATTAAAAAAATTATTGGTTCCTAAATTAGTGTGATGTATCTGAAAAATTCATATCAAACCCATATGCCAGAGACAGCAGTTTGGGATTTGTTAGTTTAAGCCTTAGTTAAAAGAGGTTACATTTGTAAACATCTCATAGAAAGCATGGTGCAGCAGCTCCAGAAAGAAAAACACATCTGTTTCATTGGGCCCGTTGTGACTTCCATGTGTCCCAGAGGCAATATTTGTCTTCACTTCACTAATAAAATAACTTAATTTCTTATATTCAGATCCTAACAGGCAGTTTTCTATTTCTCCTCTCTTCATTTTCCTTAGTAGCACATAATTCAGCCTAATCATGGATTCTGATTTTCATTTCTAATTTTCTGGGACGCATACCCCAACTTGACTTTTCTTCTTATCTGATACAGTCAGCACCTTGTTATTGAGAATGTAGTATATGCAAGCCTCAGTGCTATACATACAGCGGAAGTAAATAGATCCCTGACTGCAAAAGTTGTTGGGGCAGAGAAGTCAATGCTAGTAACAGTAGTAATAATTATAATAGGAAACATTGTTTGAATACTGACTGTAGATTGGCAATATCCAAAGCACTTTGTGTGAATGATCTCATCCAGTCGTCACAATAGCCCTAAGAGGCAAGGCAAGATGTCAGGGTAAGACATATTTTGTAATGAGGACAAACATGAAGAACCTGTCTATTATCTAAAGCATTTCAACACTGACCCAACTTGCAAGCCTCACTGTAGCAAAATAAAGCTGGATAACCAAACTCATTTGTTTTAGAAGACAATTTAAGGTAATCATTGTAACTGTACATGTCCCTTGGAAATCTCACTTCCACCCTGCCCCTCCCCGGCACATACCCCATAAGGTTCTCCTTGAAAAACGTTTGGGTAAATATAAGGGTTTTTTTTTTTTTTCCTTTTTGTAAATCAGTACCCTTATGAAATGGCAACCTTGATAAGTGCCCATCTGTCTGTCCACCATGTTCAGTTTTAAGGTAGATGCTGTTTTTGATCCCTGTTTTACTGATGAGAAAACTGAGGGTCAGGCAAGTTGAAAAAGGTGCTTTATTCATTTTTTTATTGCTGTGCAACAAAATACTACAAATTTACTAGTTTAATACAACCCACATTTATTATCTCACCATTTCTATGGGTCATGAGTCAGGTGCAGGTTGGTTGGGTCCTCTGCTTGGGGTCTTAGAAAGCTGCAGTCTGGGTAACAGCTGGGCTGCATTCTCATCTGGAGCTCTAGGTCCCCTTCCAAGCTCACGTGCTTGTTGGCAGAATTTAGTTTCCTGATGTCTCATTTTTTGCTAGCTGTTGGCTGGAAACTGCCTTCTGCTCCAGAGGTCATTGCCACATGACCCCCTTCATTGGTCCTCCCATAACATGTTAGCTTGTTTCTTCAAAGCCAATCTCTGATCTTAGGGAGGGCACAAGACCCTTTTATAAAGGACTTACTTGATTAGGTGTGGCCCATAAAAGATAATCTCCTTTTTATTAATTCAAACTCTACTGATTAGGAGGATCCTGAGTTAATCTGTAATGTCCCTTTGGTCATATACTCTAACATAATAATAGGATTAATATCTCATCACGTTCACAAGTTATACCCACATTCAAGGGGAGGAGATAATACCACGTGGGCACACAAAGAGGACAGGAATCTTGGGGACCATCTTAGAATTCTGCCTACCAACATGCACAGTCACATCAGTAACTGGCAAGGAGTGTTCTCTTTAAGCAAAGTGTGCATCAAAATCATTAAGTTGAACTGCTTCTCATAAACATAAAAAGTTAACTACCAACAAAAGTATTTTTTTAATATTCCAAATACCTGACACTTCCAAAAAAACATTTTTAAATATTCCAAATATGTGACATTTATGAGTAATTTAATAATCAGTACCATTAACATAAGTATCAGCTATATCAGTATCTAAAGATGCACATATGTAAATAATGCTGAGGAACAAAAATAAGAATATAAAATAATACATACATGCCATTGTTAAGTTGCCAACACATGGATTAGGAAATATAGGACAATGTAAAAGAGTGGATTTAAGTTTCCAGACCTTTAAAAAATTCACCTGTCATTTTTAAATATAATTCTATGAAAAGATAGCTTACCATACAGAGTAGCAGATGATAAATGTTAAATATTTGTTTTGACAGTAAGTGCTACAGAAGTTCAGAGTAGGGGAGGTTAATGTGGACTGGAGTTTCCCTTTAGTTGTAAAATGAGGTTAATTTTTTTTATGAGGTAGTTTATCATAAATTTTGCCCTAGGACTAGTTTCTTCTCCGTAGCTTGCAATCTACTCCGTGTCACCTGCTCAGTGTAAAGGATTGTGTGTCTTCTTTGAAGAGGACCAAGTCTCCTTCCTAGATATGGGTCATTCTCATTTGAATAGAACTCCTTTAGTATTGTTTTAGAAACTCAAAGTCTTAAGAATCATTATTATAATATAACATATTATAACAATATAATAATTCTGATAATCCTCTTTTATCGGAAGATAGGAAACAAGGATGCCTGGGTGGCTCAGTCGGTTAAGTATCTTGGTTTTGGCTTGGGTCATGATCTCACAGTCGTGGGATTGAACCCGAGTTGGGCCCTGAGCCAAGCTTGGGGCCTGCTCGAGATTCTCTCTTTCTCTCTCTCTCTTTCTCTCTCAAAATAAATAAATAAACATTTTAAAAATGTATTTAAAAAAGAATATAGGAAACATGGTGTTGCTGTATATCTGTTGACATTTTTTTCCAATCAGATCATCTCAACTATTACAAGGTAAATTGGTGGGATTTTTTTTTTTTCTCCCTTCTGCTAGGGATCTCAATTATTCATTTATTCCATGTCTCTAGAATAAGGTAACCATCTCAACTGTTTATGATTTAGTTCTAATTTAAAAAGAAGTTGTGGCAGACTGAATAATGCCCCCCAAATATGTCCATGTCCTAATTCCTGGAACCTGTGAAAGTCTCTTTATATGACACAAAGGATTTTGTATGACAAGAGACTTTATAGATGTGATTAACTTAAGGATTTTGAGATGAGGGAATTATCTAGGATTACCTGGATGAGGCCAGTGTTACCAAAACAGTCCTATAAGAGGGACACAGGAGGAGTCAGATGTCCCGTGACACCAGTGGTTCTCAAAGTGTGGTGCCAGATTAGCAACATCAGCATCATCTGGCAACTTGTTAAAAACACAGCTTCACTTAACTCTGCTCCATACTTATTGAATTGGAAACCCTAAGAATGAAGCCCAGAAATTCACATTTGACAATTCCTCCAGGTGATTCTGATACATGCTAAAGTTAGAGAATCACTGATATAAGCTAAGTTTTGCTCTCCCTGATAGAACAGGCGTGAGGCTAAAATGCTGGGAAAGCTCATGCTATTGGCCTGCCAAAGGTAATTTGCAACTGCTTCCTTTCTGCCTGAGTTCTGTCAGGCTATGATCACTCGAATAGCTTAACTGAAAAATCACTTATGTTTATAGCTGAAATTAAATATGTTTTGTATTTAAATAACCGCTTTTGATTAGAATCATATTTTTTGGAAAGTGCTTGGTTTTATCTGTGTGCTCTAAAGATACTTATAAAAACTCATCAAATTTCTGGCGGTAACTAACATCCTATTCAGTATAAGACGAACTGTTTTACATCAAATCTCATTGTGTGTAATGGACAAACAAAGGACATTTCAAAGGGTATTTAAGGTGGCTGAGTGGATTTCTTGGCTTAGTATTTAAAAGTAAACATTTTAAGACCTTAGCATTTAATGCTTTTGCCTCTTCTCAAAGTTGATTCTATGTAAAACTCATTATTTCCAACTCCTGGAATCTTGCTTAAACAGCAAATAGAAGTACTTTCTTTTTCTTTTACTTCTGGATTTACTGAAATGTAGATTGTTTGAAAATGGGTTTGGCTTTGTGGCACATGTCTGTTTAGCTATGTGAATACTATCATTTATTAAGACAGAACAAGAGCTTTGTTTTGAGAAACATGTATCACTGATTTCTGAAAAGTCAAAAGAACTCCTTTCAGTGTGCTCTTATTTGACAAATGATCTTGTGGTTCCTTTTAGGTATCCAATAGGAAGAGCACTCTTCGGTCTTCAGCTATGGAACTGGATGGCTCCTACTTGAGTGTAGCCAAATCACAAACCTGCTATCAAACCAAGCAGAGGCCTATGTCTGGAATCCAAGCCTCCGCTTCAGAATCCCTTGTGGAGTTTAAGAATAATTCTTTGAAGCCAGCAGATTTTCATTGTCCTAAAGAGGACCAAGACAGGGTGCCATTAGAGACCAGAACATGTGATTATGGATCCCCAGGGAGAAAACTAGTAGACGCAGTCCCTACAGAGAAAGCCCCACCAGCAGAATTGAAGATGAAACAATGCCAACACCTGAAGCCTTCTCCATCCAGTCAGTGTTGTGGTCATAGACTTTCTGAAAATGAAGATCATGTTCATGAAAGTCATCCTACGCACATGGCCCCTCAATATTCCAAAACACATCTGGAATCATGCAATAATTGTGGGCTTTCCTGGGCATCCCTGCTGCATGGTCAAGGAACACAGCAGGCTAGTGAAACTGATGTCAGAAAGCAACTCTCGGAAAATAGAAGGCAGCAACTTATGCTTCAGAAAATGGAGCTGGAAATTGAAAAAGAGCGCCTTCAGCATCTGCTGACCCAGCAGGAGACAAAGCTTCTCCTGAAACAGCAGCAGCTTCATCAGTCTCGACTGGATTATAATTGGTGAGTGTTACCTGTTCTCTCAGCAATGTCTAGCTTGGAGAACTCCGTGTAAAATGACTCTTGTACTAATATAAAGTTGCAAAGGCACAGAGGTTCCTTGGGGTCTTGGCTTCCTCAAGATGCATACTAACTATGATGACTAAGTAAATTCTATGATCTTCTTTGGAAGACTTAGAACATTACCCCATCTTCCCAAATGTTAGCCTAGAATATCTACCTCTGAGCAGTCCATTGTAACTTTCGCTGGATTCTAAAGAGAATATTTTTAAAAGATATTGTTACATAAAATCTTCTGCTATTTGAGGTCATTATGGAGACTATTAGGCATTAAGTAAAAATTTGAGACTTCAGGATGTGGAATCAGATTGTGAAGCAGAGTGATTAACTGTCATCATACCATATTTGTGTTTATCCACCATAATATAAAATGTAACAAATGATAAGAGCCTTCTAAATTCAACCTTTTCTCGTCATGAAACATAACCTGTTCAATAACCAATTCCTATAAACTTACCCACATTTGAACTCTTCCCTCTCTCTCTCTCAAAATAAATACATAAACTTAAATAAATAAATAAATAAATAAATAAATAAATAATAAATTACAAGTTTTCAGAGAGAAGTGCTTGTATATATATCCCTGCCATTTCCTTCTTGATCAAACTTACCATTTCCCCTTTGTACACATTCGTACATTCTATGCAGACACATACATCCTATACAGACACACTTAGTACAAATGTCATTGTCTTTTAGTTCTTAGAGTTAATTGTCTCTCACTCACAGATTCTGCCAATATTTTTTAGATTCTAATATCTTTGAGAGTTCTTTCTTGGAATTTTTCCTTTAGTGTAATGCTTTGCTTGGAACCAGAAGTGCTCTGCCACTTTCTCTTTATTCATGATCGGACAGTTCTGTTCTTCACTGAAAGCTGGAGGCTCTTAACATAACTGAAAATGAAGGCTCTTATAACAAGATTTTCACCAAAGGCCAAAAGATTGCTTCAGTTTGATGACCCCAATCTCTAATCCTCCAGTTAATGTCTAATCTCTCTCAAGAACTTTATTTAACTAGCATTTATTGAATGCCTATGATATGTAAGAAATGGTTCTAGGCACTTAGGATAGAGAAATGAATCCAATGTGGTCATTAAAGAGGGCATAGTCCAGCAGACTGCATAATTTTAAAACAGGTTTCAGGTTCACTTGGACAGCACTGTTTACTGAAATAATGCTATGTAATGACAATAAATAGACATTGTGTTCATTTGAACAGCTCTATTTATTAAAATAATACTGCATAATGACAATAAAGTCTTTATTGTTATCTTGATCATCCTAGCTTAGATGAGAGAGCTATGAAATACAGTTTTTCAGCAAGTTTTGTGTATGCATAAATTGTAAAAGCTTATACATATTTATAGATATTTATAAACTTTTCAATAAATAATTATAGATTAACAGGAAGTTGCATAAATAGTACAGAGAGGTCCTCCCAGTTTCTCCCAATGGCTATATCTTACATAAATAGAATACAATATCAAAATTAATAAATCAATTTTGGTACAATGTGTCTAGTTCCATGCATTTTACCACGTGTGGACTTGTGTAACCATCACAACAATCAAACTATAGAACTATTTCAGCAACACCAGGGTTTCCTGTTTACTACCCCATTTGAGTTGTCCACCCTCTTCTGCCCCCACCATCCTTAACCCTTAGAAATCTGTTGTCTATTTCTATAATTTTGGCATTTTGAGATTGTTACATAAATGGGATTATACAGTGTATGAACTTTCGATGTTGGCTTTTTTTTCACGCAGTATAATGCTCTTGAGATTCATCTAGGTTGTAACATATGTTGTGCCTTTTGATTGTGGAGTAGTAGTCCATGATATGGTTATACCATGATCTGTTTAACCAATTATCTATTGAAGGACAACTTGGTTCTTTGCCTATTATGAGGAGAGCTGCTACACACATCTTTATACAAGTTTCTGTGTGGACTAAGGTTTTCATTTCTACAAATAAAAGTTAAGAATGTGATTGCTAGATCATATGATAAGTATATATTTACTTTTAAAAATTAAATGTATACTTAGCTTATACTATATTTAGTATAAAATATGTCTTCACCACCAATGTATAAGAAATTGTTTCTCCACATCCTTACCAGCGTTTGGAATTGTCACAAATTTCTATTTTGCCTATTCTAATCTCTGTGTAGTGATATTTCACTGTGGTCTTAACTTGCATTTCCCTAATGGCTAGTGATGTTGAAAAACTTTTCATTTGCTTGTTTGTTTTTCTTCCATCTTTTTGGGTAAATTGTCTCTGTAGTATCTTTTGTCTATATTCTATTTGGATTTCTTGAGATTTATTGAATTTTGAGAGCTTTTTATATATGCTAGACATGTCTTTTCTCAGATAGGTGGATTGCAAACATTTTCTTCTATTCTGTGGATTGTCTGTTTCATCTTACTTAAAAGGATCCTTCACAGAGCAAAAGTTTTTTTTTTTAATTTTGATAAAGTTTAATTTATCAAATTTTCTCCTTATAGGTTATATAAAGTTTTTATCATGAATGTTTGTTAAATTTCCTCAAATCCTGTTTATACATCAGTTAATGTGATCATGTGATTTTTTTTTTAATTTAGCCTGCTAATATGGTGGATTGTATTTATTAATTTTTAAATATTGACCTAGTGTTGCATTCCTGGAATAAGTCCCATTTGGTCATAGTGTAAAATACTTTTTATATATTATCAAATTCCATCTACTAAGAGTTTGTTAAGGGCATTGCATCAGCATTGATGAGGAATTTTGGTCTGTGTGTGTGTGTGTGTGTGTGTGTGTGTGTGTGTGTGTACTGTCTTTGTCTAACTTTGGTATCTAGGGAATCCTGGTCTCATTTATTAGTTTCATTCATTTCTTAATATTTTCTTCCTTCTGCTTGTGTAGGATTTGTCTTGCTCTTGTATTTTTAAATTTCTTAAGGTGGGAGCTTAGATCATTACTTGGAGACTTTTTTCTTTTCTGGTGGGAGCATTTAGTGCTATAAATTTCCCTCTCAGCACGGTTTTAACTATGACTCACATATTTTGGTGTGTTGGTGTGTTCACTTCGTGTAATGTTCCTCTAGGTTCATCCATGGTGTTGCAAAAGTCAGGATTTCCTTCTTTCTCCTGGCTGAATAATATATATTTTTATATATCTTTTTACCCATTCATGTGTTAGCAGACACTTAGGTTGTTTCCATTATGAGTAATGCGACAATGAACATGGGAGTGCAGATACCCAGAAGTAGGATTGTGGGATCATATGGTGGTTCTGTTTTTAAGGTTTGTTTGAGAAACCTCCGTACCGTTTTTCATAATGGCTGTACCAATTTGCATTTGCACCACCTGTGTATAGGAATTCCCTTTTCTCCATATCCTGCCCAACATTTGTTATCTTTTTATCTTTTTGATCGAAGCCAATCTAACAGGTGTGAGGCAATATCTCACTGTAGTTTTGATTTGCATGTCACTGACAATTAGTGATGTCAAGTAACTTTTCGTGTACCTGTGAGTCAACTTGTATGTCTTCTTTGGAAAAATGTCTTCTCAGTGCCTCTGCCAGTTTTTTAATTGGATTATTTAGGCGTTTTTTGCTATTAAGTTGTGTAAGTCCCTTATATATTTTGAATATTAACCCTTTATCATATGTGTGTGTGTGTGAGAGAGAGAGAGAGAGAGAGAGAGAGAGAGAGATTATATGTGTGTGTATATATATATATATATATATTTCATTTTTATAATTTATTTCCTTTGCTGTGCAGAAGCCTTTTATCTTGATGTGGTCCCACTTATTTTTACTAGTTTTGCCTGATCTTTTGGTGTCAAATCCAAAAAATAATTTCCAAGACTAATGTCAAGGAGTTTTTTTCTACGTTTTCTTCTTGTAGTTTTACAGTTTTAGGTCTTATATTTAAGTCTTTAATCCAGTTCAAGTTAATTTTTTATTCTTTTGCATGTGGATATCCAATTTTCCCAACACCATTTATTGAAAGAGACTATCCCTTCCGCATTGTGTATTCTTGGTATGCTGAACAAAGAGTAACAAACCGTATATGCTCAAGTCTATTTCTGGGCTTTCTATTCTGTTCTGTTTGTCTTTATATCTGTTTGTATACCTTCACTGTTTTGATTGCTATAGCTTTGTATTGTTTGAAACTAGGAAGTGTGGAGCCTCCAGCTTTGTTCTTTCTCAGGATTACTTTGGCTATTTGGGGTCTTTTTGGTTCCATATAAATCTTAGAATTGTTTTTTCTAATTCTGTGAAAAATTCCAATGGAATATTGATAAGGATTGCATTCAACCTGTAGATTGCTGTTGGTAGTATGGACATTTTAACAATACTGATTCTTCTAATCCATGAACACAAGACATTTTTCCATTATTTGTGGTTTCCTCAATTTCCTCAGTGTCTTATAGCTTTAGTGTACACATCTTTTACCTCCTTGGTTAACTTTATTCTAAGTGTATTGTTTTTGATGCAACTGTAAATGGGATTGATTTATTAATTTATTTTTTAAGTAGTTCATTGTTAGTGTATAGAAATGCATCCGATTTTTGTATGTTGATTTTTGTACCCTGCAATTTTAGTGAATTTCTTCTTTAGTTCTAACAGTTGTTTGATGGCATCTTCATTGTTTTTTATACATAAGGTTATGCCATCTGCAAACAGAGAAAATTTTACTTTTCTTTCTGATTGGGATATCTTTTATTTGCTTTTCTTGCCTAATTGCTCGGGCTGGTACTTTCAGTATTATGTAGAAGAGTGACAAGAGTGGACATCCTTGTCTTGTCCCTAATCTTAAAGGAAAAGTTTTCAACCTTTCACCTTTGAATATGGTGTTAGTAGTGGGCTTGTGATATATGGCCCTTGATTATGTTATGTTCTTTCTATACTCAATTTCTTGAGAGCTATTATCATGAAAGGATGTTGGATTGTGCCAAATGCTTTTTCTGCATTTTATTGAAATGATCATATGATTTTTGTTTTTTATTCTATTAATGTAGTAAATTCCCTTTGACAGTATTTTGTTGAGATTTCTTTTCATCTATATTAATTGGAATTATTGACCTATTTTTTTTTCTTGTGGTGTCCTTACCTGGCTTTGGTATCAGTATAATGCTGCCTTATACAATGAATTTGGGTGTGTTCCTGCCTATTCAATCTTTTGGAAGAGTTTTAGAAAGACTTGTATTAATTCGTCTTAAAATGTTTGGTAGAATTCACCAGTGAAACTATCCAGTCCTGGATTTTTCTTTGTCATAAGATTTTTACTCACTGATTTAATCTAATCCTTAGTCATTTTGGGTCTGTTAAGATTTTCTGTTTCTTCATGATTCCGTTTTGGAAGGTTGTATATTTCTAGGAATTTATCATTTCTTCTGGATTATCCAATATTTTGGCATGTAACTGTTTATAGTAGCCTCTTATGATCCTTTGTGTTTCTGTGGTATCAGTTTTAATGGCTTCTCTTTCATTTCTGCTTTTTTTTGGGAGTCCTCTCTTTCTTCTAACAAACAAAAGTTTGTTAATTTTGTTTATCCTTTCAAAAAACCAGCTTTTCGTTTCAGTAATCCTTTCTATTATTTTTCTAGTCTCGTATTTTTGCTCTGGCCATTGTTATTTCCTCCCTTCAGCTAACTTTGGCCCTGGTTTGTTTTTCTTTTTATAGTTCCTTGAGGTGTAATTATAGGTTGTTTATTAGAGATCTTAATTTTTTCTTTTTAAAACATTTTTTTAATGTTTATTTATTTTTGATATGTATAGATAGACTGTGAGTGGGGGAGGGGCAGAGAGAGAGGGAGACACAGAATCCCAAGCAGACTTCAGGCTCTGACTGTCAGCACAGAGCCTGATGCAGGGCTCAAATTCACGAACCACGAGATCATGACCTGAGCCAAAGTCAGATGCTTAACCCACTGAGTCACCTAGGCACCCTGAGATCTTTCTTTTTCCTTAATATAGACATTTAAAACTATAAACTTACCTCTTAGAACTGTTTTTGCTGCATTTCATAAATTTTGGTATGTTTCAATTTTAATTTGTTTCAAGATATTTTTTAGTGTCCCTGTTGATTTCTTCTTTGACTCACTGGTTGTTCAGGAATGTGTTGTTTAATTTACACTTATTGTGAATTTTCCCATTTCCTCCTGTACTGACTTCTAGTTTTATAACATTATGTTTGGAAAAGGTATGATTTCAGTCTTATTCAATTTGCTAAGAATTGTTTTGTGACCTAACATGATCTGTCCTGGAAAATGTTCTGTTTATACCTGAAAAGAATATGTGTTCTGCTGCTGTTTGATGGTATGTTCTGTATATGTCTATTAGGTCTATTTTATATAAAGCATAGTTCAAGTCCAGTGTTTCTTTAACATCTGGGTGATCTATCCATTGTTGAAAGTAGGGTATTGAAGCTGTTATTGAATTATCTGTTTCTCCCTTCAGATATGTTAGTATTTGCTTAATAAATTTAGGTGTTGCTGTGTTAGATACACATATATGTACAATTGCTAACATTCTCTTGATGAATCAACCTTTTTATTATTATATAGTGATTTTCTTTGTGTCTTTTTACAATTTTTGATTTGTCTATTTTGTCTGATAGAAGTATAGCTTCCCTGCTCTCTGCATTTACCTACCCATGTATGTGTCACTACCAAATATTATTATAAAATTCTAAGTTCCTAGAGGGTAATTAATCTAATTTTTTTTTTGGTAAATGATTATTTATTTTTGAGACAGAGAGAGTGAGGGAGGGACAGAGAGAGAGGGGGAGAGAGAGAGAATCCCAAGCAGGCTCCATGCTGTCAGCTCAGAGCCCCTGGCAGGGCCCAATCTCACAAACTGAGATCATAACCTGAGCTAAAACCCAGAGTTGGACACTTGGCCAACTGAGCCATCCAGACACCCCCTACATATTTTTCTTTGTTTATTACTGTGCATAATTAGTTGCAGTTATAAGAATGTCTTTGACAATGATGGAAATGATAATGCCGTTTTAATAATATGTTCCCCTCTTCCTGGTTTTATTTCATAGTTAAAGAATATACTTCTACAGATTTCATTTCTAAAAATGAGCCAGAGAATATTTCTAAAAAAACTTAGAAAATGGGTAGAAAAGGTCACATATGGATAGAAAAAGTGCCAGTGGTTAATTGCCATCCAGACTCTGGTAGAACATGCTAATTTCTTTCTCTGCCTTCCCTCCTCAGCACATCGAGGATGGGGCTAGTTAGCATTGCTGGATAGAATTTCTTTCAGTTTCTATGATCTTAAGAAACCACATTGGTCAGTGAGACATAGCCCCAGCTCTTTGAATTGACAATATGAGAAATATTTGCCTTTTATGGATATATTGGGCATGGTCAGTGATACTTAATGTTACTAGAATTCCCATTAAGACTCTGATAATCAGAATACACTTGCTTAGGAGTGAATAGAAAGAAACTTGAAATTTCTAATGAAGAAACTTAAAGTACTCCTAAAGCATCTATAGTGTTGAGGTTTTAAATGATATTTTGACCAACTCAGTGTTCTCCAACTCCTCTGTAAATAAAGAAAATTGAAATTCCTGTAAAACTGATTTGTGTTTATTTTATTTACATCCTGTGTGTATTTAGGAAGTGCCCATTTATTTTGACAGATCGAGGTTGTTGGGTTTTTTAAATGTTTTGTTTTATTTTTGAGAGAGAGAGAGACAGAGATAGAGACAGAGCATGAGCTGAGAAGGGGCAGAGAGAGAGGGAGACACAGAATCCCAAGCAGGCTCCAGGCTCTGAGCTGTCAGCAAAGAGCTCAAACTCATGACCTGAGCCACAGTCGGACTGTCAACCAACTGAGCCACCCTGGCGCTCTGACAGATCAAGTTTTAATTTGAAAACAATTGTTTGAGGTCTAGCTGGAAGCATATGGTCCTGCAAGGGTTACCATTCAGTTGCTTAGGTTCCAAGGATTAGAAAGCCTCTAATTTTTTTTTTCCAGGTTAAGAAATCAAGCTGTATTTAAGTCAAGAGAACTCGTTGCTGCTAAAGAGTTTACTAAACCCCGAGAACTCAATCTGGATATGAATGGGGATGACTCTGGACCAAGGTAAACCTGGGTTATGGGTGGGTGAAAGCAAGAACATGTAGGATACAGATATTAAGGCAAAGATATTAAGGATATGTTTGGTATGTTTTTACAGCTTTATATAGGTCCAGTTTTCTGATAATATAAATAAATACATTCTCAGTATAAAATTTTTAACAATACAGAAATGTGTAAAAAATAAAAATCATTCATGATCCTACCATTCAGAGATGATCCTTTGAGCCCTCTCCCTCTATCTTTCTTTTATAATATATTCTATTTTGAGTAATAGAGATTATACTTATGCTGAATTTTAATTTTTGCTTTTTCACTGTAACATATTTTCTGATGTCATAATTTATTTTATGAAAACTTGATATTCATTCAACAAATATTTATTGTATGACAAGTATTGCTCAATATTCATCTCTTAGCCTATTATTGGATAATATAAGGTTTTGCTATTATAAATTGTGCCTTGAAGAGCATTGCTAGAATAAATTTCTTACTTTATCTCTACCCATGTCTTTGGTATGGATTCCTATAAATGGAACTACAAACTCAAAGTGCATATTAATATTTTTAAGATTCTTGATTCACATGGCCCAGTTGCTTTCCATAAAAGTTAAATCAGTTTTCACCATCAAAGCTATGTTTGAGAATTCTCTTTTCATGAAATTTGAAGAATTTTTGGCCATTATTTGTTCAAAAAAATTTTTTTTACCTTTTCTCTTTCTTCTTTCCTTCTGGATTTCATTTACAGGTATATTAGATCTTTACTGAAGTCCCTGACTCTGCTAATTTTTTAGAATCTTTTTTTTTCCTTTTTCTTCATTGTGGATAATTTCTATTGATCTGTTCTCAAGTTCATCAACTCTTCTGTTATTTCCAATCTGCTGTTAAGCCCATAGAATAATTTTTTTAAATTAGATATTGGATTTTTCAGTTTTAGAATTTCTATTTGTGTCTTTGTTAAAATTTCTATTTCTCTACTGAAATTTCCTATTTTATTCATTACAATTCCTTTATTCATTATTTTTCCTTTAAAATGCTTTTCTCTAACACCTGGTTTATCTTGGGGCTTCTCTCCATTGGTCAGCTTTAATCTTGAGTATTGGTCATGGTTTCCTTTGTACACTTAGCAGTTTTTTATTGTTTCCTGGTACTGGGAATGACTCTAGAATTCACTTTTAGTCCTCTAAACAATGTTAATTTTTTGTGTGTGTTAGCAAGCACACACATTCCAAGCCCTTGACTGAATTCACATTCCAAGCCCTATCTGCCAGGCGAGTAACAGTGAAAATCACTGCCAAGCCCTATGAACTTTAACTCGGATGGATGCTTGAGTCGGCCTCATTCATGTGTAGTTCAGCGGTCAGCCCAAACTGGCAGGGTTGTTACACAGAATTTGAGGCGCTCTCTCTCTCTCTCTCTCTCTCTCTCTCTCTGCCCTCTCCAGGGTTTTTTCCCTTTTCAAGTGCTTTGGTCAGCTCAGATTCTATTCTCTGGGTCTTTAAGACCGGCCTTCAGCTGAAAGCCATTAAAAAAGAAATTGAGAACCCTCCCAGTGCCACTGCATTCAAGTGCTGATCTTCTTCCAGTTTCTGCTTGTTTTCCGTGACTCTTCAGTGCTTCAGTTCTGTTTGTTTGTTTTCTCCCCAAGTTTGTATTGGGGAGAAATATGTAACTATGGGAGTAACTATGGAAGTTTGGGACCTATAGAACTCTTCAGCTGTTATTAGAAGCAGAACCAAAGAATTCTCATTTCAGACAATTTTGCCATCTTTTAATTGTGATAAAATACACATAATATAAAATTTACCATCTAAACCATTTTTAAGTATATTTACATTGTTATGTAACCAGTCTCCAGAACTTTTTTATCTTGCAAAACTGAAACTCTATACCCATCAAACTACTGCACATTTCCTCTCCCTGCCAGCACCTGGCAACCACCTTTCTGCTGTTTCTGTAAGTTTGATTACTCTAGTTACCTCACATACGTGGAATCACATAGTATTGGCCTCTTTGTGACGTGCCATAATCTATTTTTTATTTAATTTTTATTGTTTTTGATAGCAAGCATACACATACTTTAAAAAGTCAACCAGTAGGGGGCGCCTGGGTGGCTCAGTCGGTTGGGTGTCCGACTTCGCTTAGGTCATGATCTCACAGTCTTTGAGTTGGAGCCCCGCGTCGGGCTCTGTGCAGACAGCTCAGAGCCTGGAGCCTGCTTCAGATTCTGTGTCTCCCTCTCTCTCTGCCCCTCCCCTGCTCATGCTCTGTCTCTGTCTCAAAAATAAATAAAAACATTTAAAAAATTTTTTAAAAAGTCAACCAGTTCAACAAGACTTCTGCAAAATAGCAACTGCCTGTACCTTGGAGCAGCGGTACTCCCAACTTTCACTCCTTAGAAGAAGTTTTGACTGTTTTAGATGTTTCTTCTTATAACTGTTTCTTCTAGCATTATATCCTTATTTCTGAATAACCGACTTATGTGGGCCTTGGTTATTGACTGTCTGCTATGAAAGATGATGATTTAGCTCTCATAGTTAACCATCTATTTGCTGTCTCTCTCTTTTTCACCATTCCCTCCATTTCTTCTCTCCACTCTTCTCCCTTTTCCCCTTCTGCCTCTAATGTACATACCTACACATATACTTTTTCCTTCTGTCCTCTCAGTATAGCTATATCACAATATATTTACAATCAGACTGTATATATTTTATACACAGCAGGGTCATGTACTATATGATTACAATATTTAATTTTTATGTAATTGTTTTCTCTAAAGCTTAGAAATGCCTTATTTAATTTTCTTTGTAATAATTCATTTGTTAGTTCACTCAAATATTTATAGTTTCCCATCAGGTGTTAGATACATCCTAAACTTTGGGGGATACAGCAGTGCACAAAACACAAAAATGTCTGACCTTGTGTAACTTAGATTCTCATGTCTTGTCATTCCCAAACCTAACCAGAAACTTTAATTCTCTGAATATGTTTAGACACGTTGATTATTCTGTCATATTTTCATTGCATTCTTTTGTTGCTATATTCCCTTCTTTCTGCTTTCTTCCTTTCTTCCTTTTTTCCCTTTTTTTTTTTTTTTTTACGATATCCCTCCTGGGGTCCTGTGTAATCCTGCTTATATATTTACTTGCTTGCTTATGGTAGAAGAAAATATATAAAATGCTGATAAGCCAAAAGAAGAAATTAACACATACCCATAATCTTATCATCTAAAGACAATCTTAGTATATAACTTCTGGATCTCATTTCTTTGTGAGTGAGTATGTGATGTGTTGATATTATACATTTTGTTTCATATTCTACTCTTTTTAAATTGAAGCATAATTAATATACAGTATTATATTCATTTTAGGTGTACAATATAATGATTCAACAATTTCATACATCACTCAGGGCTCATCAAATCAGAATACTCTTAATCCCCTTTATTTCACCCATCCCCCACCAACCTCCCCTCTGGTAACCATTAATTTGTTCTGTATATTTAAGAGCCTGGTTTTTTGGTTTGTTTGTCTCTTTTTTCCTTTGTTCATTTGGTTTATTTCTTTTTTTTTAATGTTTATTTATTTTTGAAGAGAGAGAGACAGAACACAAGTGGGGGAGGGACAGAAAGAGACACAGAATCAGAAGCAGGCTCTAGGCTCTGAGCTGTTAGCACAGAGCCCGATGTGAGGCTCAAACCCACGACTGCCAGATCATGACGTGAGCCAAAGCTGGACGCTTAACCGACTGAGCCACCCAGGTGCCCCCCGCCCCGTTTGGTTTATTTCTTAAATTTCACATGTGAGTGAAATTATGTGGTATTTGTCTAGGTCCATTTGTGTTGTTCCAAGTGGCAAGATCTCATTCTTATTCATGGCTGAGTAATATTCCATTGTATATATATACTACATTTTATATATATATATACACACACACACACACACACACACACACACACATACATACATACTACATCTTTTTAAAAATTTTAATTCCCATATAGTTAGCATGCAGTGTTATATTAGTTTCAGGTATACAATACAGTGATTCAACAATCCTATACAATATTCAGTGCTTGTCAAGATAAGTGTACTCTTAATCCTTTTCACCTATTTTACCCATCCTCCCACCCACTTCCCTTCTGGTAACCCTCTGTTTCTTCTCTATACTTAAGGGTCTCTTTGGGGGTTTCTTTCTTTATTTTTCCTTTTCATTTGTTTTGTTTCTTAAATTCCACATATTAAGGAAATCATAAGGTATTTCTCTTTCTCTGCCTGACTTATTTCACTTAGCATTATACTCTCTAGATCCATCCATGTTGCTGCAGATGGCAAGATTTCATTCTTTTCTATGGCTGAGTAATATTCCACTGTATATATATGTACCAAATCTTCTTTTCTATTCATCTATAGATGGACACTTGGGTTGCTTCTGTATCTTGGCTATTGTAAAAAATGCTGCAGTAAATAATGCTGTCTTTTTGAGCAGGTGTTTTTGTTTTCTTTGGGTAAATGCCCAGTAGTGGAATTACTAGATCATATGGTAATTCTATTTTTAATATCTTGAAATATTAAATACTATTTTCTACAGTGGCTGCACCAATTTGCATTCCCACCAATGGTGCATGAGGGTTCCTTTTTCTCCATTTAGCCAATACTTGTTATTTCTTGTGTTTTTGATATTAGCCATTATGGTAGGTGTAAGGTGATATCTCCTTGTGGTTTTGATTTCCATTTCATTGATGGTTAGTGTTGTTGAACATCGTTTATGTGTCTGTTGGCCATCTGTATGTCTTCTTTGGAAAAATGTGTATTCAGGTTCTCTAGTCCAAATTTTAATCAGATTATCTGTTTTTTTGGTGTTGAGTTCTGTAAGTTCTTTATATATTTTAGGTAGTGATCCTTTTAATAAAATGATTATATAGTTTTTATTCTCTCTTATTAATGTGATGTGTCATATTGATTGATTTGTGAATATTGAACCACACTTGCATCTCTGGAATAAAT